GATAGCGGATTGATGCCCTCCGGTGTGACAAAATGGCCCAAGTATTCCAGCTCTTGCCGGACAAATTCGCACTTGTCGTGGTTGGACTTGTACTTGGCGCGGCGGAGCGTCTCCAACACTCGTCGAAGATGCCCAAGATGATCCTCCAATGTCCGGCTATAGACGAGAATATCGTCTAAGTAGACCAGCACGAACCGGTCCAACATTGCACGAAACTCGTTGGTTATTGCCGCTTGGAAGGTCGTCGGGGTGTTGGTGAGGCCAAAAGGCATGACCACCCACTCAAAATGTTCGTACCACGTCTTGAACGTGGATTTGTAGCGATCGTTCGACCGGATCGAGATTTGATGATATCCCGACTTCAAATCCAACTTAGAAAAATAGTTTGCGCCGCCCAATCGCTCAAGAAGATCGTTGATGCGAGGAAGAGGCCCCGCATTCTTGACGGTTTGCGCGTTGAGCTTGCGGTAGCCGATACACAATCGTAGATCCTTGTTCTTCTTCCGGACGAAAAGAACTAGTGCTCCATATGGGGAGCTACTCGGGCGGATCCAGCCCTTGGCCAACAAGTCGTCGAGTTGTGCGCGGAGGACCTCAAGCTCCCTCTCGCTCATCCGATAGATGCAACCTTTCGGCGGCACGGCACCGGCCTCAAGAATGATCTCGTGAGAGATCGGCCGATCCGGCACCACACCGGGAGGTGACTCGAAGATGTTGATGAACTCGTCCAGCATCCGCACCACTTGGGGGTCCGAAGACAAGTCCGTGAGTGAAGAGTCGGCTACCGCGACGGTCCGTAGAAAACATAGGCCGATTTCCTCGGGCTGCTCGTAAGCGCAAGTCGCTCGGAATGATTTGGCCATCACCACTTGGCACCGGATCGAAGGGTGCGGAAGAGGAATGGTACACGCCACTTCGGTGCCGAAGGCGTCGCGAACGCTAAGAGTCCGCCGGTGGAAGTTGACCATGTGATCCGCACTTGCAAGCCAAGGCATTCCCAAAATGATGTAGAAGTTCGTGTCCAAAATGTCGAACGTCACCGATTCACATGCATGAGGTGCGAAATACACTGGTACGGCCTCGATGTAACGGTCGAGAAGTTGCTGCGTCTTTCCATCCGCCAACTTGATTGCCGTCGGGTTTGCCTTCCTCCAAACTTGTGCGCCAAGGCCAACCCTTTGCATAAAGGCTTGGCTCATGAAATTGAGAGACGCGCCGCTATCCAGCAAAGCGCTACAGAACGCTTGCCCAACCTGGATGCGGACATACATGAGCGGTGCGTTGTTGTCATCGTACCGCTGCGTGTGAAACTCGCGGGCCACCTTGGTAACATACGCAAGGATGTCCCCCACCGCGACTTCGTCATCCGTCGACGAAGTTGGTGGTGCATAGAAGGATAAGTACGTGTGGAGATGAGTGCATAGTGCTGCACATTGCGGTCCCGGCAAGCGGCCCGTGGTCGGGAGAGGAAGCCATGCAAAGTCCTCGGACGTGAGAGGGTCCAATACCTCTATGTTGAACTCGCGCGCCGAATCCCGTGAAGAACCATTTGAAGACGATAAGTCGCCGCTGCCAGACGGAGAAGATGCTGCACACGTCTTGTCCTTGAGCTTGAGTACCCAGCGTAGGAACGAACCGGGCAGCATAGTCCTCAAAAGAATACAGAAGAGGAGGACGATCGACTTCCGCATGTGCCTTGGAACGAAGGGCAGTCACCCGCGAAGCGACCGGTTCCAAAGGCGTCGAGAGTGTCGTCGAGTCACTCCCGACGGTGGTCAGTTTCCCGATTTGCCCTTGCCTTTCCACGGGCAGGCCAGCGTCTCACGGAGATCGTTGTTGCACCATAGGCAATAGTGAAATCTTGTGCGGCTTTGAAGGCTTGCTCGGAGATACCGTATTGGGACCATGGGGCTAGAGCTGCTACGCCGGGCCCGGGGCCAGATGCGGTGTTTGTCTTCGCCTTGTCGCATCCTCGGCCTTTGCCGGGGCAGCCACCTTCCCGGGCGGCTGCGAGTCTGTCCCCTTCATTGGCAGACACAACCTCGCTAGTTTGGTCAAACGTCGTTGCCGCCACGACCACGGCCACTCTTGGCCGATGCTGGTCTTTGCTCGGGCCTGGCGCAGACGAACGCAGGTTTTTAGCCTCCTTGTTCGTGATAATGATTTGTGCGGCCTTGTCAAAGAGTTCCGCCGTTGTCGTCAAGGTGTCCTCGACATGAGTCAGGGCATTGCTTAATGTCGGACATGACCTTCAGATGAAATAGTGGCGGATGGCTTTGAAGCTCCATCTGGATGTCTAGGACGGATGTCAAGCGTTGGTACTCGGCAATCCAGTCGGTACTCGGCAGCGTGCCTTGCTCGAAGACCATTAGCTTGTCCATTGCCTTGATCTCTGGCGGCTCTACTTGGAACCGCTTATGCCACGCCGCCTTCAGATCATCCCAGCTGATCTTGGTGTGCAAGTCGGGAGCTACTACTCCGTACTTGGACAAGAGATTGTCCAACCATGCTTGGCAGGGGCCCCCTGACCGGGAGTATAAGTACGCGTGGTGCTTGTGTTCTTTGACGTAGTGTAGCTGCAGTGTGAGCTCGAACTTGCGGAACCATGAAATCGGATTTGTCTTCGTCGAGTCGCAGAAGATCTCATGCCCGTCAAACTTTGGAGCTGTCTCGCGCGGTTTCGAACTCGAGTTGTTGGCTGCGGTATAGATCCGCTACTCCAACTGTTGCGTTGCGGTCTGCTGTAATTGCACGCCGTCCTAGAGGGAGCCGACGTCCATCTCCAATGCTTCGAGGCGATCGGAGGTGTTGGAAGAGCTGGCATCGGGGGCGGCGACGGGTCGCTGCTCCAGCTGCCGGAGGCGGCCGTGGACTTGAGACAGCGCGTCGTCGAGGCTATGGATGTCCTCCTGCTGTGTAATGCATGTTGCCAGGAGGTCCGTGAGATGGGAGAGGAGAAGAGCGATCTTGTTTTCACTATCCTCCATCTTGCCATTCTCGGCCTCGACCCGCCAATCCGCTGCCATTGTGAGCAAAGTGTGCTCTCCGCTAAATATCTTCTCACGACGTTGAACTCGTTCTTCATCGGCAGCCTTTGCTGTTGCCTCGTCACGCTGGCGCTGTTGTTCAATTGCCAGCAGACGTGGCTGTTCGGCGTCCTCTGCCCTCTTCTTCGCTGATGTTGCTGCGTCATCCGCCCGTCTCTTGGTTTCGGTACTCCAGGCCAGCATCCGGGCCTGATAGGCCTCGTCTGTTCCCCGGACCTATGGTCCATGACGGTTGTTTGTGAACGCAACAGCATAGACCAGGCCGGGGGCCTGCTGACGTGGTATTCGAGACGTGGCACCGCTGTCAGTTGACGTGGCCTGCTGACGTGTCCTGCTGATGTGACCTGGTGACGTAGTCTGCTGACGTGGCCTGCTGACGTGGCAACTCACCAGTGCCGCCGCAGGGGGTACCCGGAGACCGAGAGAGAAGGTAAGACCAGAGGTGGCAACAACATAGGTGGGGAGGGGTGGGTGGGATAATAATCGCCCAGATAAGGAGCCACTAATCAAAAAAGAAAAGTTTGAACTTTGCAAAAAAATTTTGAGAAAAATAAGAAACAACCCGAGTTTTGTAAGTTCAATAGGTCTCCCAACCTCCCTTGAAGTGCGAAACTATCAATGAGAAAAAACTTTCGAGCTTCAGACTGCCAATGATTTATAGAACTGACTAACAGAATCTTAGAATTGCGAATATTTTTCCGAAAGAAATCAAATATTCGGACTTACTCAGATGAGAGTACTCGCAGTTTGGAAAATAATACCCGCAGGAGGGATTTCCCGTTCCGTTTTCATAAAAACGAATTTCGAAAAATATTTCGAATTTCCAAATAACGGGAAATGCAACAGGAAATCAAAATTTTCGAAAAGAAAAATATTTCGGATTTTCAACAACGAAATTTCGAATTTTTAGAAGAAAAACGAAAACGGAAATTTCAGATGTTGCGCTATTGCGATTTTCCACAACAGAAATAGCGAGAAAACAAAATCCAAGAAAAGAAAAAAATTTTGATTCTCGGCAGTAAGGTCAAAATCGTGATTTTGGGGCTAACTAGTGTGCTCTGATCAATCAATGAAGACTAATCAGCTACCTAGTCCCCGCACACATGTCAGATCAGGTTGTCCTGATTCACGTGCGGTGTTCCGATACCAACTGTTACATGCCCAGTTGGGCGATGTACATATAAACCGAGGATCAGCAATGTGATAAAAAGGACTGAATGGACAATGCAGTGCAAGTAGAATCTCGACAAGCAATGTGCATTCCGATACATACACAATGGTGCTTTTATAGCGCAGGGAAGACTTAGATACAAATCCTGACCTGACCGGGACTGACCTCTTTTACGTAGTATAAGATAGCGAAGCAGAATGCTAGAGTACCAATGGC